ATATACAGGGTGTTCGCGTTGTTTGGAAATGGTAAAGGAGAAAAAAATAGCAGAGGACAAAGTTGTACGATTTATTTATGACCAATACGGCAATGTATAATAATTTTATATATAATATTTTAAATATTTTTTATGGAATTAACATGACCTTTAAATTTTTATATACAATGTTTCTGTTGTATAGAATTTTTTTGTTTGTTTATCACGTCAATATTTCTGTTTTGTTCATCATATCAAGATGAATTCGATCATATAATAAATGATGTTGTCCTTTAGAGTTGTGGTAAATTTATAAAACATATATATTAATGAAATATTCAATATTTATTTATATTCATAATATTTATTTAATTTCTTATATTTGTATAATACATAGTATAAAATATGATATATTATTATAATATAAAATATAAATATATTATAATATAAAATATATATAGAATTTTTTTGTTTGTTTATCACGTCAATATTTCTGTTTTGTTCATCATATCAAGATGAATTCGATCATATAATAAATGATGTTGTCCTTTAGAGTTGTGGTAAATTTATAAAACATATATATTAATGAAATATTCAATATTTATTTATATTCATAATATTTATTTAATTTCTTATATTTGTATAATACATAGTATAAAATATAATATATTATTATAATATAAAATATTCTCGAGACTCGAAGTGAATAGAAAGCATGAACGTGGATAGACTACGAGATTCTTCAAGTAGTAATATCTCGAAGAGTGTGACAGAGAAGGAAATGATTTTTGCATTATTACACAGAGGAAGGTTCACTGAGAATATTTCAGAATATATCCTGCTAGAAGGTGAAAGTTTGCGGGACTTGTCAAGTTTAAAAAGTTTTCCTAATTTCTAATTTCTAATCAAGAAACAGTATCTTTTAATGTGGACAGAAATTCAAGGCTTCAAGAAATTCAAAGATTAAATACAAAGGTTGGTCAGGACCAATAAATAAAATTATATTATTCCATCAATTTCGTCACTTTCGAGGACAATTTAGAAATCAACGTAAACTGAAAAAATGAATCGAAATGAAAAAGTTGTTTTTTTTTTTTTTTTTTTTTTTTTTT